TTCGCCCGCAAGAGATGGAAGGTATAGCCCTGATCACTGCCTGGAGCCCAGATATAATTAGGACTAGGTTTAGATGCAGTGCGAATAAACCAAAAGAGGGTGCACCCACTCCATTCCATCGAAAACCCTATTATGTTGAAGTAGAGGAGTAACACGTCCGTCTCATGAGTTATCTTGCCAAGTGCAGCTTTGAGAGACTTTACCAAAGCGTGAGCCATGAATCTGCTGGTCATGGGGATCCATCAACCCATTGCCTTTGGAGCGATGGCAAGTGTAGGATATTGTAACTGCGTGCTGAGTACCGTGTCTCAACTGGGAAAGGACAGTCCGCTTCCTTCTGATGGGATCACACTTCCCTGCTTTGCTGGCAGGGTTGTGCCTCGCTGGCACTAGTCCAACTCAAGTTGAAGGTGACACCGGGTCCTGAGCTTAACTTCGTTCTGTGGAGATAGCTAAAAAATGTCCTTTAGATCGGTTAGTTGCCTCAAGTGTCTTTTTTAACAAAAAAAGTTCTGACAGATGGTTATGTAAGACAAGTATTTTAGACAAGCCATGGCAGAAGAAAACTGAATCATTACAAGAATTAATCATTACTGGCCAAAAAAGAGCCTGATGTTAACTCCATGAAAGTAGCTATTAAATCAAGGGCATTGGATTCTTCCAGCTAATTTTCTCATTCTCTGGCCTATCCCCAGTTGGCTTGAAATGCTAACACAATCACTGAGAAATTGATGGCAAATCCAAACATAGTACAAATCCACAGAACGTCAGGGTTTCTGACATTCTTTGAAACAGTCTTTTTAAGCACGTGTCAATCCTCAAACCTCAGTAAAAGTATCCTAAGAATTTTACTGTCTCTAAGAAGACACATGATGTCAAAGATGAGGCCTACTCAAACGAATGTTTTCTCTTGACCTTCCTGTATGCAATGTTGCAAGTTTCCCAAGGTGCAGCATTAATTAGCTTTTTCTTAATTAGTATCCTTCAGTCTTATAAGTCAAGAGCATGCGGGCTGAAGCATGGTACACTGGGGGCTAGGAATTCAGAATTCTACCTCTGACTTCACCACTGACTAACAGGATCTTGGGCAAGTCAGAGCATCTCTGGCCTCGCTTTTTGTCTATAAAATGAGGGTAAAATAATTATGGCTCATTCATATTATCTGATTTGTTAGGACAAATGTCATGACCACATCAGCATAAAATGTGGATGAGACCGACACTAAGAAGGTACACTTAATCAGAATCAAGATCAGGATCAGATACACTTCATCAGGAAGGTGAAGGGAGAGGGTGATCACAGCAGGACCTCACTGCCGTCTCTGGAAGGGCTTCCCCAGCGTGCAGGGGGGCAGGGGCAGAGACTGGGGGCAGGACCACCCTTCGTAACGGCTATTTGACATTGTAGTATATTTGGCTCTATTTAAGTTAACTTTTACTAAGTTATAATACATAACACATTATGGTGTAAATGCTTATATATGCTCTATATTATGATCCCAAGAAAGGAAGAGAGAGAGAAACTTGATGTTTCAGTTACTCTCAATTGATTTTTTTTTTTTTTGTCTTTTTAATTTTCCAAGTTAGAGGAACTCTGGATGGTGTTAAGGAAAGAGATTCAAATCAGATGGAGCTAATTCTGGTATTTTGATCAGTGAACCATTTCCATTCCCTATTCTGGCTCCATGACGGATGCATGAGGCAGACCCAGTGAGCACCTCTCTTTAATTATGGGAACCTAAGAGGGATCATTCTGGTAGGGGTATGCCATCCCTTCACATCTAGACCTTTTCAAATTGACATGAAAGCCGATGCTGCTAATTGGCAGAGCACTAGGTATTTTCAGAGACAATGTATGTGTCACGTCCTGGGTACAATTATAATATCGAGGGGGACTCCAAGCCTTATCACCAGGCACTAACACACAGGTAAATCAATATAGTTAGCATTATTTAAATTGTATTTCTTTCAGGAAAACAAATAACAACAATAACTGGAAATAATAACGTGCCCCTCCCCCAAAAGCAGGGGGTTAGAATGATCAAAAACAGAATCTTTGCCGTTAGGAAAAGTTCAGTTCGTGGTTCCTATTTATAGGCAATCTTTGCAAGCATTCTTTCGTCTATTTATGTAAAATCAACTTGGGCTTCATCGGATCTGCTGAAAGAACAAGATGAAAAACACCTGTAACCACCAGCAAGTGATCCAGAGGGGACAGATTCTTTAATTGCGTCATTAATTTCCAAAGGCATATCCATCACACTTGAGCTTGCAGAATGGAAAATAAATGTATTGGAGAAAACCCAATTTCAAGTGCTAATAAAAAGAGGACACAAAAGGTTTCATTCACCAGCAATCTCTATTTCCTCTGATTTACAGTTTTCAGAAAGCAACAGTGTCGTTCGGCTGCAGGGTCACAGAGCCGCCTTCCGGTAGAATGCTGATCTGATGGCCTGCCCCGACGTACACGCAAAATGAGTGGCTGACAGCCAATTCTTCATTACCAGGGGGCACAGCGGACACAGGGTCGTGGAGAACATGTTCACAGGGAGCCGGCCGGTCATTGTACAAGGGGCTGCTGCCCCCAGAGTTTGTTGCTGACTTTGATTCAGGCATCCTCTCAACGAATACCTTCTTGCCAAAGGAAGAGAGCATTATGCAGATAACACAAAACGGTTTAAAAAAAAAAAAAAAGCCCAAGGCTTTCCTCAAATCCCTTCTCTCTGTTTCCTGAGAGGCATTTTCTGGAATTCCCATCTGGAAAACTTAGGGCAACTCCAACATCAGTTACTGTGTTGGTCACAGAATGATGAGTAGTTCTCGATTCTCTTGGAATTGTTGAGTAGAAATGACAAGGGAGGGGCGGGTGGGGGGGCACTGTATTGTATCAGCAATGTTTGATTTCGTAGGTGAGGAGGACATGAGTGTCCTTGTATTATTCTTTATCCCCTTTTTTTTTTTAACATATCCCAACTATCACATAGTATATATTTTTTAAGTTTATTTAATTTGAAACTTTTTTATTTTTTATTAACCATTTATTCATTTTTGAAGGAGAGAGAGAGACAGAGCGCGAGCCAGAGAGGGGAAAAGAGAATAGGAGACACAGAGTCCGAAGCAGGCTCCAGGCTCCGAGCTGTCAGCACAGTGCCCGACGCGGGGCTCGAACTCACAAACCGCGAGATCACAACCTGAGCCGAAGTCGGATTCTTAACCGACTGAGCCAACCCAGGTGCACCTGCCTAGTATGTTATTTTTAAGAAAAGTGCACTCACACACGAGGACTTGGGGAACTAATTCGATCCTCTTACGTAATCTATGTCTGTGTACCCTTTGATTGTTCCAGCAAGAGTTATTTCATGCAATTAAAATTTTCTCCACTCATCAAACATTTCTTGCTATTTTAAAAATTGTAAAGACATACACAGAAACAAATAGCAAAGACAAAGCGGTGGTTCCTCTTGGGCCCCTGTTCTAGCTTCACTCCCCTCTCCAAAGATACCCGCCCTCTCTGGTTCAGTGTATATCCTTCCAGACCATACTCTATATCTATATATACATGTATTTACACATATATGAATATAACATAATGTAAATATACTGTCAGTTTTCACCTATGCATCTTTCTTGGGCATTGATCATTTAAGGTCAGCAAGAAGAAAGAACTCTTGGCCTGGGTTACAAGGCCAAGGAATGACTGAAAGGAAAACTTGAATAAGAGAAGGACAGCTATGATCTTAGTGGTTAAACTTGCCCTAGACTGTGTGCCCAGACACTTGTCCGGGACACTCAAAGTGAGGGAACAGAGGAGCAACGGTCCCAAGCTGGGGTCATTAGAACCTTTTCAGTCAGTTGTGCCTGGAGAACCAGGATGTCCCTTGGCTCACGGGCTGGTGGCTGAGAGGTGGACCCTGAATGACCTAGCACACATAGGTCAAAGCTGAGCAAAGAAGCCAGTTTTATGACCGAAGCTGCCTCCAGAGATGCTATGCTTGTGAATAGTTTATAATTGAGATGAAGTAGCTTCTCGTAAGAGTCAAGAGTGGGGTGAGTCACTGTTGAGGGAAAGCGTGGGTCACAGAGGAAGAACAAGGCCATGGTCCTATCGTCCAGCCTAAAGAGGGGTCTCCTTTCATCTCATGGGTAGTACTGGGAGATATAAGTCAACTAAGTGATAAATCTAAGTCAAATAAATAAGTATATAATCTTGGGGCCTCTGCCATTTTGTTGCTACTTTGGGGGAAAACCTCTTTTCCCTTTTTTTAAAAAAAAATTTTTTAATGTTTATTTTTGAGAGAGAGACAGAGTATGAGCAGGGGAGGGGCAGAGACAGAGACAGAGAGGGAGACACAGAATCCGAAGCAGGCTCCAGGCTCCGAGCTGTCAGCACAGTGCCCGACACGGGGCTCGAACTCACAAACCGCGAGATCACGACCTGAGCCGAAGTCGGACGCTTAACCGACTGAGCCACCCAGGTGCCCCCAAACTCTTTTCCCTTTGACTCCACGGGCATGGGACTCTTCTGACATAAAGTGAGACTTGCCCCCCGTGACAGGAGACCTGTAAACACATACCGTGTGCACATGGTGAGCACAGAGCCAGGTGCCCTGTCTGTTGGGACTTCCAGGTTCTTTGTGCATGTGTGTGTTTCCTCACTCTTCCTCACACCTTTCTCTTCCTCCTTTCGGGATGTAAAACAGAATCCCTTGGCGTATTTTATTTTCTCGTACAACCTTTTTTTTTTTTTTTTTTTTTTTTTTAGCTGGGTATAATAATCTGCATACCATAACATTCACCCCTTTTAAGGTGCACAATTCTGTGACCTTAGCAGAGACTTTTTCACTGGAGCCTGTTTTTCTTCCAGGTGCTTGCAGGTTGTTCTCTGTAGAGGCTCTTTTGAGAAGCAACGTTCTTCCTATATTTGTTTCCCCCTGCCAAAAAAAAAAAAAAAAAAAAAAAAAGAGCTGCAAGAAAATAGGAAGTCTGCTCTCCCTTACAGCTGCCTCTGTCCAGGCTAACATAGCCTCCTGCCTGTGGTTGATTGGCACTCAGGCTGGCTTCCCCTACGCTGAGAGCACACTTCACTTAGGTTCTTGGCGTCAGATGGAGGGAGACAGAGAATTCAAGCAGACTCTATTGATTTTTGCTATCTCCTTGGTCCCCCCTTCCTCCCTCTTTCCCTAGAGGGGCAGTTAGGAAGTAGCTAACGATCCTTGAAGCCAAACTGAGCTCCTGAATTCATTGCATTCTTAAAATAGGGGGAAAGAAATAAAAAAAAATGGAGCCTCAAAAATATCACGTAGAAGCAAATTATGTTACTGTCTGATTGCGAGGCAGCCCAGCAAATCCATAGCTTCAGGGATGACATTTGCCGAGACAGGATACTCCTTGATGTTAGGAAAATAATGGGCTGGCTTGTACAAGTGAGTATCTTTCTCCTTGAAACTAATTAGACAGTTCAGGGAACCTTGTCAGGGAAGGAATAGGTGATATTTGTCTGGTTGCCCACGCAAATTAATAATCCAGTGGTCAGAAATAACCATGGGTGCTCATAATTGTGTGAGAATGCAATAGCAATTCTGAATTCACAAAACATTAAGACTTAAGGAGTAGTCACTAGCTTTCCAAAACAATTTGGCTTTTTTGTCCTGCTTGAAACTTTGTTGCATTGGATATGGCTGACGGCAACATAGGTCAGAGAACACAGAAATTTCCATGCTAAAAATTCTCAGCGTCATCACGTGAATAGCCCAGACTGTAGAGTAAGAGAGCGTCTCACCAAACCGAGGGCCGTGGGGACTACATGATTACCCAAGATCATGTGCCAGCGCAGAGTCGATTTTTACATTTTAAATTGACGTTGCCGGACGCTTCCCTCTATAAAAGCTCATGAAAATTATAGCCTCCGGAGTTCCTGTGAAGTTGAGAGGTTGAGAAAGATACTAAATTAGCTTTCCTGGTCTTTGCTGCTTGTCTACCCATGCAGCATTGAAAAACCACCAGACAGCAAACTTTTCCTCCCACACCCTCATGAACTAGGCAGGGGTGTGAATCGGCATACCCGGGGGAGCTTATTAAAAATACAGAGGCCTGGGTCCCCTGCCTTGAGCTCATTCAGTAGATCTTGGGTGGGATAGAGGCCTCTGAAATTTTAACAAGCTCCCTCGACGATTCTGAAGCGCATCAATATTTGAGAACCTCTAATACGGTGAAAACGGTTTGAGCTTTGAAACCCAGCAGACATGAGTTCAGACTAAGAGGCCACCATTCTGTGACCTTGAGCAGGCTAACGCCGTCTGCGCGTTTACCTCGCTTGCGGGGCCGTAGGGAGGATTAAGTTAATGGCACGTGCTGAGTGTTGATCCCAATGCTGGCCACCCAGCGCATGATTAATACATGTTACTCCTTGTATTAGTCAGCCCTGGAAGCCATAGCAAAACAGCACAGACTGGGGGGCTTAAACAAGAGGCATTCATTTTCTCCCAGTTCTTGGAAGTCCCAGATCAAGCTGTTGGTAGGCCCGGTTCTCCGGAGGCCACTCTCCTTGGCTCACAGATGGCGCCGTCTTGCTGTGTCCTCACATGGCTTCTCGTCTGCACCAGCGTCCTGGTGTCTCTTCCTCTTCATGTAAGGACGTCAGCTCTGTTGGGTTAGGGCCCCACCCTTGCAACCTCCTTTAACCTTAACTACCTCTTTAAAGGCCCCATCTCTAAAAACAGTCACATGGGGGGTGAAGGCGTCACGTATGCATTTTGGGGGGACGCAGTCTGATTCATAACACTTCCCTTCACCCAATCCTTTTTCCCTACACTCCTTCCCTTTCCTGTCACCGTCAGCCATGGCTTGTGTTTGAACTATCTGTAACTCAAAGGAATAAGTTTACAATACTCATTTGATAAAAGCACTGGTTGAAGGTGAGAGTGAGGACAGGGTGTGGGTATTTTGCTGAAGGCAGCAGCTTCCTAGCCGTCCAGTCCCCAGAACCCTGGTCCAAGAATGTAACAGAGACTCTACTCTTAGCAAAAGGATCCGGAAAAACTCTCACCACTCAACATTACATGAAGAAAATAAAAAAAAGTGACCTAGACGGAGAAGGTACAGAATACCCCTGTGTCCAGATTCTGAGTTCTGTTTCTGAAGGGTGCTTTCTTCTTCCCCACTATGACAGATCACAGCAGAGAAGAAGAAAAGTCCTTTCACATTTCCTAAGTGGAAAGCTCAACTGTGTGATCTATTATTTCCTGACAGAGTGGTTACTTAGCACCTATTTTTAGAGTCCATAATATTCCATTTCAGACATGTGAGGCTTCATTCTAAGCAGGCGGCTTCCCCCTCCCCTACTGCCCAGATGTCTCCTTCGTGGTCACCTACAAAGCTCCGTAGAGGCCAGCAGCCTCATAATAGAATCTGTGATGTGAATTCTATTCATTCTGATGTTACAGGGTGCACCTCGCTGCCTCAGAACCCATCCCTGATGTAACTGGCAACGCACTGAAATGAGTCAGTCTATGAATCACTCAAGATGAAGTTAGAAATCTCCCGCTGCCACATTGTTCTCTTATGCATATTACAACGAATTAAATGTTCTGGCCTAGACTATGAATTTTATCTCTTTTCCGATTATGTTCCTTGGCTGTATATTTTTTTCCGTGAAACTGAAGCAGGCTTCTAAAAATACATGCATTTATTAAATATCTTCCTCAGCTTGATTTAAAATGCGCCACTACGATTACTCTGAATTGTAAATGACAAACTGAATGAAGAAGGCTGGGAATGGTTATGTACTTATAAAATGCAATGAATATTTTTTTCTTTGGTAACTTAGGTGGAATTAAGCCTCCAGTTAGGGGCACTTCTGATGCGTTGTCGACAGGCCCTGGCCACTCCAGTGACCCGAATCAGTCAAAATGGCCCATGCTCTTTGCCCATCTCCCTCCTCTTTGCCCCATTTCTGGGAATGGGAGCTGTACGGTTTAATTCTAAAATGTCAGATCCCAAAGAGATCTTAGCATCTCTGAATTCAATCCCCTCTGTTTTCCTCGGCTTTTAATTAAAGCAAAGTCAAACATAATTTTCCGGCACTGTCCCACTGAGACAAAGGTGTAATTAATTTCCTGCTCCTGGGCTCAGCCATGTGATTTCCTCTGGCCAGTGGGATGTTAACAGATATGACACAACAACCTTGAAAAGTGCTTATGCAGTTGGACCCGCTGTCTTCTACTTCTGCTCTTGCCATGAGAATAATATGTCTGGACCAGCCCTCTGGGTCCAGGAGGAGGAAAAGACGTGTGATCTGAATTGCCTCAGCTAATCTTCCTCAGCCAAGCCTAGAGCAGAGCTCCTCAACCGCTCTGCAGGTAATTGAGTGAGCCCAGCCAAGATCAGCAGAACCACCTAGCCAAGCCCAGCCTAGATCAGCCAAACCTCGGCCAACTCACAGATAGGTGAATTATAAAGATAAATGACCGTCATTTGGAAGTCATTGAGTTTGGGGATGATGCATGACACAGTATTTTGGAAGCAATAGCTGATAAGTTTGGCCACTTGTTTGGTGTTGTTTTCTATTATCTCTCCATGGTCAAAGTTCTTTTTTTTTTTTTTCAACGTTTATTTATTTTTGGGACAGAGAGAGACAGAGCATGAACGGGCGAGGGGCAGAGAGAGAGGGAGACACAGAATCGGAAACAGGCTCCAGGCTCTGAGCCATCAGCCCAGAGCCTGACGCGGGGCTCGAACTCCCGGACCGCGAGATTATGACCTGAGCTGAAGTCGGACGCTTAACCGACTGCGCCACCCAGGCGCCCCTCAAAGTTCTTTTTAATCTTTGTAACTATAAGTAATCTGCAGAATGATACTTCAAGACCATGTGAACATCCAGTGACTTAACTGACTGAGCTCCGTGGCACCCTCTTTTGTCTTAAAGCATTTCTTTGTCTTTAGCAGCGTAAGGCATTCTCTCTTGCTGGATCGCATTGACTAGTATTTTGTTAAAGATTTTTGCATTGGGGCATCTGAGTGGCTCAGTCTGTTAAGCGGCCAGCTCTTGCTTTCTGCTCAGGTCATGATCTCAAGGCTCGCGGGTTTGAGCCCTGCATTGGGCTCTGTGCTGACAGTGCAGAGCCTGCTTGGAACCCTCTCTCTTTCCTTCTCTCTGTCCCTTCCCTGCTCACACACTCTGGCTCTCTCTCTCTTTCAAATAAATAAACTTAAAAAAAAGATTTTTGCATCAGTGTTCATGAGGGATATTGGTCTGCAGTTTCCTTGCAATATTCTTGTCATGTTTTGGTATCAGAATAGTGTCCTTACAATATGAATTGAGAAGTGATCCCTCCTCCTCCATCTTTATGAAGGAACTTGAGTAGAATTGGTATTATTTCTTCCTTAAATATTTGGTGGAAGTCATCAGGGAAGTTATCCGGGACCAAATGGTGGTTGTAGGAAGGATGTGAACTATAAATTTAATTTATTTAATAAACATAGGGCTAATCAATGAGCTATTTCTCCTTAAGTGAGTTTTGAGAGTTTATGTCTTTCAAGGAGTTTGTCCATTTCATGTAAGTCATGAAATGAATTGGGATAGCATTGTTCCTAATTTTGTTATTATTCTTTTAGTATCTGCAAGATATAGAGTGATATCACCTCTTTCATTCCTAATATCAATACCTTCTTTTTTTTTTCTTAGTATGTCTAGGAGGTTATCAACTTTACCGATATTTTCAGGGAATCTGTTTTTTATTTCACTGATTTTCCCTGGAATTTTTCTGTTTTCGATTACGTTAATCTCTTTTTTGTTATTTCCTTTCTTCTGCTTGGATTGGGTTTAATTTGATCTTTATTTCTTAATTTCTTAAGGTGGAAGCTTATACTGTCAATTTAAGGCTTCTCTAGGGATGCCTGGGTGGCTCAGTCAGTTAAGTGTCCAACTCTTTCTTTCAGCTCAGGTCACGATCGCATGGTTTGTGGGTTTGAGCCCCACGTTGGGCTCTGCGCTGACAGCACGGAGACTGCTTGGGATTGTCTCTCTCCCTCTCTCTCTGCCCCTCCCCCACTCTCTCTCTCTCTCAAAATAAATAAACATTAAAAAGAAAACTTTTTAAAAAATTTTTTTAACATTTTTAACTTATTTTTGAGAGACAGAGAGACACAGAGCATGAGCAGGGAGGGGCAGAGAGAGAGGGGAAGACACAAAATGTGAAGCAGGCTCCAGGCCCAGAACTGTCAGCACAGAGCCCAATGCAGGGTTCAAACCCACGAATGTTGAGATTACGACCTGAGCCAAAGTCGGATGCTTAACCGACTGAGCCACCCAGGCACCCTGTGATTATTTTTTTAATGTTACATTGATGCAGTTTTGGTTTCCTCTTTAACCCCAGAAATATGTACAGTGTATGTGTGTGTGTGTGTGTGTGTGTGTGTGTGTGCGTGTGTGTGTATTATTTAAGAGAAGTAGAGATTTTTTGTGGTACTGATTTCTAGTTTTATCTTGATTAGATTGTGTTATTTGTACCTGTTTTTTGTACACTTATTAAGGCCTTTCTTGTGTTTAAAATTTGAAAAAGATTCAAAATAAATGTTTTTTTTTTAAAAAATCAAGACTTTTTTAGAACAGTTTTAGGTTCACAGCAAAATTGAGGGGAAGGTACAGAGATTTCCCATATACCCTCTGTCTCCTCACATACATAGCATTTACAAAGATTTAATATCTGTTTTATGGTATAGAGTTGGCATTTTACAAATGGTATAGAGTAAGTCATTTTACAAATACGGTGTTCACGTCTTTTATACCCAAAATATTTTTTTATCTGCCTAACCTTTAAAGGACTAAGTAAGAGGGTTATTAACATTTTCTCAATATTATTGCTTTTCTGAAATTTTATACATGTAATAGTTTTGGGTTTCTGCATTTTTGTGTCA